ATGCAACAAAAATAAAAATTAGAAAATAATACATTTTTATCACATTGTTGTATTTTTTGTCGAGATGTACATGTTTTTTGTGTGTATTAAGCAAATCATATCAAAAATATTTTTTGTTACTATTTTTTGAGATATTTTTAGGTAGGTATTTTTTTATTTATTTTTCATTGTGGTTATATATTAGGGTGTCGAGATTTGCAGATTTTTTTTACAATTATTTTCAAAAATATTTTTAAAATATTCATATATTAAATATATATTAAAAAAATATTCTTAAACGACTACTAATTATAGGTGATTTTTAAAAAATATTTTTCAACTACTATTAATAGGCGTGGATTTTTTAAAAAATATTTTTCAACGACAAATAATTATCGGGGATTTTTTAAAAAATATTTTTCACGACTATTCATAGGCGTGGATTTTTAAAAAAAATAGTTTTCAACGACTATTAATAGGCGTGGGTTTTTTAAAAAATAGTTTTCAACGACTATTAATAGGCGTGGGTTTTTTAAAAAATATTTTTCAACGACTACTAATTATCGGGGATGTTTTTAAAAAAAATTTTTAACGACAACTAATTTTCGGGAATTTTTAAAAAATATTTTTCAAAGACAAATAATTATCGGAATTTTTTAAAAAATATTTTTCAACGACTATTAATAGGCGTGGATTTTTTTTGTTAAAAATATTTTTCAACGACTATTAATAGGCGTGGATTTTCTAAAAAAAATATTTTTCAACGACTATTAATAGGCGTGGATTTTTTAAAAAATATTTTTCAACGACTATTAATAGGCGTGGATTTTTTAAAAAAAAATTTTCAACGACTATTAATAGGCGTGGATTTTAAAAAAAAAAATTCAACGACTATTAATAGGCGTGGATTTTTTAAAAAAATATTTTTCAACGACTATTAATAGGCGTGGATTTTTTAACAAATATATTTCAACTACTATTAATAGGCGTGGATTTTTCAAAAAATATTTTTCAACGACTATTAATAGGCGTGGATTTTTCAAAAAATATTTTTCAACGACTATTAATAGGCGTGGATTTTTCAAAAAATATTTTTCAACGACTATTAATAGGCGTGGATTTTTCAAAAAATATTTTTCAAAGACAAATAATTATCGGGGATATTTTAGAAAATATCTTTCCACGACAAATATTTATCGGGGATTTTTTAGAAAATATTTTTCAAAGACAAATAATTATCGGGGATTTTTTAGAAAATATTTTTCAAAGACAAATAATTATCGGGGATTTTTTAGAAAATATTTTTCAAAGACAAATAATTATCGGGGATTTTTTAGAAAATATTTTTCAAGGACAAATAATTTTCGGGGATTTTTTAGAAAAACAAAAAATATTTAAAAAATATTTATCAAAACATTTTTCAACGTCAAATAATTATCGGGGATTTTTTAAAAAATATTTTTCAACGACTACTTATAGGCGTGGATTTTTTAAAAAATATTTTTCAACGACTATTAATAGACGTGGATTTTTTAAAAAAATATTTTTCAACGACTATTAATAGGCGTGGATTTTTTAAAAAATATTTTTCACCGACTATTAATAAGCGTGGATTTTTTAAAAAAATATTAACAGGCGTGGATTTTTTAAAAAATATTTTTCCACGACTATTAACAGGCGTGGATTTTTTAAAAAATATTTTTCCACGACGATTAACATGCGTGGATTTTTTAAAAAATATTTTTCAAAGATAAATAATTATCGGAATTTTTTAAAAAATATATTTCAACGGCTAATAATAGGCGTGGATTTATTAAAAAAATATTTTTCAACGACTATTAATAGGCTTGGATTTTTTAAAAAATATTTTCCAACGACTATTTATAGGCGTGGATTTTTAAAAAAATATTTTTCAACGACTATTAATAGACGTGGATTTTTAAAAAAATATTTTTCAACGACTATTAATAGACGTGGATTTTTTAAAAGAAAAAAATATTTTTCAACGACTATTAATAGACGTGGATTTTAAAAAAAAAAAATATTTTTCAACGACTATTAATAGGCGAGAGATTTTTTAAAAAATATTTTTCAACGACTATTAATAGGCGTGGATTTTTAAAAAATATTTTTCAACGACTATTAATAGGTGTGGATTTTTTAAAAAATATATTTTTTAACGACTATTAATAGGCGAGGAATTTTTTCAAATATATTTTTCAATGACTATTAATAGGCGTGGATTTTTAAAAAAATATTTTTCAACGACTATTAATGGGCGTGGATTTTTTAAAAAAATATTTTTCAACGACTATTAATAGGCGTGGATTTTTTAAAAAATATTTTTCAAAGACTATTAATAGGCGTGGATTTAAAAAAAAAAATATTTTTCATCGACTATTAATAGGCGTGGATTTTTTAAAAAAATATTTTTCAACGACTATTAATAGGCGTGGATTTTTAAAAAAATATTTTTCAACGACTATTAATAGGCGAGGAATTTTTTAAAAAATATTTTTCAACGACTATTAATAGGTGTGGATTTTTTAAAAAATATTTTTCAACGACTACTAGTTATCGGAGATTTTTTAAAAATATTTTTCAACAACTATTAATAGGCATGGATTTTTTAAAAAAGATTTTTTAACGACTCTTAATAGACGTGGATTTTTTAAAAAATATTTTTTAACGCCTATTAATAGACGTGGTCTTTTAAAAAATATTTTTCAACGACTATTAATAGGCGTGGATTTTTAAAAAATATTTTTCAACGACTATTAATAGGCGTGGATTTTTTAAAAAATATTTTTCAACGACTATTAATAGGCGTGGATTTTTTAAAAAATATTTTTCAACGACTATTAATAGGCGTGGATTTTTTAAAAAATATTTTTCCACGACTATTAATAGGCGTGGATTTTTTAAAAAATATTTTTCTACGACTATTAATAGGCGTGAATTTTTTTAAAAGTATTTTTCAACGACTATTAATAGGCGTGGATTTTTTAAAAAATATTTTTCCACGACTATTAATAGGCGTGGATTTTTTAAAAAATATTTTTCCACGACTATTAATAGGCGTGGATTTTTTAAAAAAATATTTTTCAACGACTATTAATAGGCGTGGATTTTTAAAAAAATATTTTTCAACGACTATTTATAGGCGTGTATTTAAAAAAAAAAATTCTACGACTATTTATAGGCGTGTATTTAAAAAAAAATTCTACGACTATTAATAGGCGTGGATTTTTTAAAAAAATATTTTTCAACGACAATTTATAGGCGTGGATTTTTTAAAAAATATTTTTCCAAGACTATTAATAGGCGTGGAATTTTTAAAAAATATTTTTCAACGCCTATTAATAATCGTGGATTTTTTAAAAAATATTTTTCAACGCCTATTAATAGGCGTGGATTTTTTAAAAAATATTTTTCAACGACTATTACTAGGCGTGGATTTTTTAAAAATATTTTTCCACGACTATTATTAGGCGTGAAATTTTTAAAAAATATTTTTCAACGCCTATTAATAATCGTGGATTTTTTAAAAAATATTTTTCAACGCCTATTAATAGGCGTGGATTTTTTAAAAAATATTTTTCAACGACTATTAATAGGCGTGGATTTTTTAAAAAATATTTTTCAACGCCTATTGATAGGCGTGGATTTTTTAAAAAATATTTTTCCACGACTATTAATAATCGTGGATTTTTTAAGAAATATTTTTCAACGACTATTAATGGGCGTGGATTTTTAAAAAAAAAATATTTTTCAACGACTATTAATAGGCGTGGATTTTTTAAAAAATATTTTTCAACGCCTATTAATAGGCGTGGATTTTTTAAAAAATATTTTTCCACGACTATTAATAGGCGTGGATTTTTTAAGAAATATTTTTCAACGACTATTAATGGGCGTGGATTTTTAAAAAAAAAATATTTTTAAACGACTACTAATAGACGTGGATTTTTTAATAATATTTTTCAAATGTTAATAAAAGGCGTGGATTTTTTAAAAATATTTTTCAACGACTATTAATGGGCGTGGATTTTTTAAAAATATTTTTCAACGACTATTAATGGACGTGGATTTTTAAAAAAAAATATTTTTAAACGACTACTAATAGACGTGGATTTTTTAATAATATTTTTCAAATGTTAATAAAAGGCGTGGATTTTTTAAAAATATTTTTCAACGACTATTAATAGGCGTGGATTTTTTAAGAATATGTTTCAATGACTATTAGTGGGCGTGGATTTTTCAAAAAATATTTTTCAACGACTATTAATATGCGTGGATTTTTTAAAAAAATATTTTTCATCGACTATTAATAGGCGTGGATTTTTTAAAGAATATTTTTCAACGACTATTAATAGGCGTGGATTTTTTAAAAAATATTTTTCAACGACTATTAATAGGCGTGGATTTTTTAAAAAATATTTTTCAACCACTATTATTAGGCGTGGATTTTTTAAAAAAATATTTTTCAACGAATATTAATAGGCCTGAATTTTTTAAAAAATATTTTCAACGACTATTAGTAGGCGTGGAATTTTTTAAAAAATATTTTTCAGCGACTTCTAATTATCGGGGATTTTTTAAAAAATATTTTTCAACGACTATTAGTAGGCGTGGAATTTTTTAAAAAATATTTTTCAGCGACTTCTAATTATCGGGGATTTTTAAAAAATATTTTTCAACGACTATTAATAGGCGTGGATTTTTTAAAAAATATTTTTCAACGACTATTAGTAGGCGTGGAATTTTTTAAAAAATATTTTTCAACGACTATTAGTAGGCGTGGAATTTTTTAAAAAATATTTTTCAGCGACTTCTAATTATTGGGGATTTTTAAAAAATATTTTTCAACTACTATTAATAGGCGTGGATTTTTTAAAAAATATTTTTCAACGACTATTATTAAGCGTGGATTTTTTAAAAATTAGTTTTCAACGACTACTTTTTTTTTTTTTGAAGAAACCCATCAAATCTCTCCACCCTAATATATAACCCAATACCCATTTTATAACATTATTTTTTAAAGACTATTTTTTTGCGCAGCATCATAAGTTTCAACTTCAAGAGTTTGTTGTTTTTTTTTTTTCTTCTTCTAAATCTAAACTTCCTACATCTAAAATACAAGTTTCGTTAGTTTTTCCTTTCAACTATTTCGAAATTTATTTAGGTTTGTGTTGTTGCATTTCTATCGACTAAACTATGTACCTATTCTGTTTTCGGTAAGTGTAATATTTGTTAAGAATGTTTTGAGTCAAAATTCTGTAATGTTCTGATACTGTTCTGTTATGTTCTTCGTTTGTATTTTAAGTCACTTTATTTGCTAGAGAATACTTTCTGTGGGTTATCTAGAGTTACAATACCCGACATGGGGGTCCACAGGGGTCACCTATACACCAAAGACCCTTGGATAAAAGACCCTTTATGGGTCTTCTCTGTATGGATGACCTTCTATAGACCTTCCATATCCAGATGATTGCTAATTGCTCTACTTAAAGCGTTATATGACGTGTTTCTGTTGTTGTTCTTGTTTTAATCTTCTACTCAATCTCCTAGGGGGGGTTATTTACAAAAAAAGTTTGATACCGTTTGTCATATTTTCTTTTTGGTAAAACGTAGCCTTACATCTAAATCTATAACAAATATGTATATATGTATGTATCTTGTGTTTGTTGTTGTTGTTTTTGTAATTTTAATTTAAAAACTGCCAGATGCCGATCCCGGCGGCTGGTGTTGTTGCTGATGTTGCAAATGGGCAGCTGCTGCCGCCAGTAAAGCTGCTGAGGATGACGATGTCGTTGTTGAGGTTGTTGTATTCAAGTTAGCATTTGTCGCCGAAGAGTAGGAGGATCCAATGGTCGTGGACGCCGACGGAGCTCCAGGGCCTGCTGATGCACTACTGGTACTCGTGGAAGGTGGAGATTTCAAAAGTGGTTTTATATCCTCGATTTGTATGAGTTGTTCAATGGGTATCAGGGAGAGTTCACCACCCGGCTGGGGGAGAGGCGGTAGTTTAGCTAAAGCCTGAAAATGAAAGATTTTTTAAAAAATATTTTTCAAGGACTATTACAAGGCGTGGATTTTTTAAAAAAATATTTTTCAAGGGTTTATTAAAAGGCGTGGATTTTTTAAAAAATATTTTTCAAGGGCTTATTAAAAGGCGTGGATTTTTTAAAAAATATTTTTCAAGGGTTTATTAAAAGGCGTGGATTTTTTAAAAAATATTTTTCAAGGGTTTATTAAAAGGCGTGGATTTTTTAAAAAATATTTTTCAAGGGTTTATTAAAAGGCGTGGATTTTTAAAAAAAAATATTTTTCAAGGGTTTATTAAAAGGCGTGGATTTTTTAAAAAATATTTTTTAAAGGGTTTATTAAATGGCGTGGATTTTTTAAAAAATATTTTTCAAGGATTTATTAAAGGGCGTGGATTTTTTAAAAAATATTTTTCAAGGGTTTACTAAAAGGCGTGGATTTTTTAAAAAATATTTTTCAAGGGTGTATTAAAAGGCGTGGACTTTTTAAAAAATATTTTTCAAGGGTTTATTAAAAGGCGTGGATTTTTTAAAAAATATTTTCCAAGACCTATTAAAAGGCGTGGATTTTTTAAAAAATATTTTCCAAGACCTATTAAAAGGCGTGGATTTTTTAAAAAATATTTTCCAAGACCTATTAAAAGGCGTGGATTTTTTAAAAAATATTTTCCAAGACCTATTAAAAGGCGTGGATTTTTTAAAAAACATTTTCCAAGACCTATTAAAAGGCGTGGATTTTTTAAAAAATATTTTCCAAGACCTATTAAAAGGCCTGGATTTTTTAAAAAATATTTTTCAAGGGTTTATTAAAAGGTGTGGATTTTTTAAAAAATATTTTTCAAGGGTTTATTAAAAGGCGTGGATTTTTTAAAAAACATTTTTTCAAGGGTTTATTAAAAGGCGTGGATTTTTAAAAAACATTTTTCCAAGGTTTATTAAAGGCGTGGATTTTTTAAAAAATATTTTTCAAGGATTTACTAAAAGCCGTGGATTTTTTTAAAAAATATTTTTCAAGGGTTTATTAAAAGGCGTGGATTTTTTAAAAATATTTTTCAAGGGTTTATTAAAAGGCGTGGATTTTTTAAAAATATTTTGTCAGGACTATCACAAGGTGTGGATTTTTTAAAAATATTTTTAAAGGGTTATTAAAAGGCTTGGATTTTTTTTAAAATATTTCTCCAGGACTATCACAAGGTGTGGATTGTTTAAAAATATTTTTTTTTCAGGACTATCACAAGGTGTGGATTTTTTTAATTTTTTTTAAAGGGTTATTAAAAGGCTTGGATTTTTTTAAAAATATTTTTCCAGGACTATCACAAGGTGTGGATTTTTTTAAAAATATTTTTCAAAGGCTATGGATTTTTTAAAAATATTTTTCAAAGGCTATGGATTTTTTAAAAATATTTTCCAAGGGTTATTAAAAAAGTGTGGATTTAAAAAAAATATTCTTCAAAGGTTATTAAAAGGCGTTGATTTTTTAAAAAAATATTTTTCATAGGTTATTGAAAAGCCTGGATTTTTTAAAAAATATTTTTCAAGGCTTATTAAAAGGCGTGGATTTTTTAAAAAATATTTTTCAAGGCTTATTAAAAGGCGTGGATTTTTTAAAAAATATTTTTCAAGGGTTTATTAAAAGGCGTGGATTTTTTAAAAAATATTTTCCAAAGGTTATTAAAAAAACGTGGATTTAAAAAAAATATTTTTCAAAGGTTATTAGAAGGCGTTGATTTTTTAAAAAATATTTTTCAAAGGTTATTGAAAAGCCTGGATTTTTTTAAAAATATTTTTCAAGGGTTATTAAAAGGCGTGTATTTTTTAAAAAATATTTTTTGAAGAACTAATAATTACCTTGGCATGCTCTATTGCTATCGTGGCCGCCTTTTCAGCCTCCCTTTGACGCCTCTCCTTCAACTTCAAGGAAAATATGGCCACGGATCGGGCACTTTTTACCAGCTTCTGTTTGAGACGATTTTTCTTCGCGGCCAATTCGGCAGCTAAAAATTTATAAAAATTGAGAAAAGTTCCATTAAATTTAAGAGAAGACTTACCCTTGGCCTCCTCATCGGTTGTATTGCCACCCGATGCCTGGCCAGCGGAAGCATTTGCCTTCGTTGATCCTGTTGAGGTTGAGGCCTGCTCCTTGTCGTTTTGTTGCGATGATTGTTGTTCCTTTTGTTGTTGCTGCTGATTCAATTGGAACGACAATGTCGATGTGGTTGATATGGCCCCTACACTGGGACGTGAATTCTCCACTCGCGTTGTGGCTGTTGTCGACGATGAGGCTCCGCCACTGGACGAGGAAGAGGATGAGGCGACTGTGTGTTGTGCTGCCGGACCGGTGGACGAGGAACCGGGAGTTACAGCCACCAGGGGCTGGGCTGCAATGGCTGTTGTCGATTTTATGGCCACATTAGTCCAGGATGGGGCTGGCTTTAAAATATCCATCGTGTCTGTATTGCTTTTAAGCTCCTTTTTTGTTGTTGTTATGATTTTTTATTTTTACAACAAGGAATAACAAAAACGATAGCGAGCGAAAGGATGTGCAATCGAAGAGCAACCGGATATAAGAAAGGTCAAACACACACACAGAGAGGAACATAGGAAGAAAGAAAAATGAATTGATGTTGCAGGAAAATTGTGCAGGACCATAGTTTGAGGTTCCATATTTTTTTTGGATTTTTTTTTTGCATATGTGGTAGTGTCCATATCAAAGATGGTGTTTGTTATGCCACATTTTATGGTTCATGGCGGATTTGCAACGCCATGTTGCACGCATTTGTTTATTTGGTTTTGTGGTTGTTGCACCAGGACAGGACGAGAGCGAAAAACGGAAGTGTAGAAAAAAATTATAATTAAAGGATTTCCATATAGATTAGCAGGTTTATTTGCGAACAGTGAACAGAACAAGAATTTCCAGTGAAAAAAACGGACACACACACACGCCAACATAAAACAAACATTTATAGCTGGTGATGGGTTAATGGGGGTTTATTGGATGGTGGGGTGAATGGAAAACGAGTCAGCATCAAAATTTTTCACATGCAGAGCCAATGGTGGAACACACATTAAAAATTTCAATATTTACTAAGACATTTATAGAGTGGGACCATGGACCCAAGTGCGAGCCATCAATAAGTCTATCCAAAAAATTTTGGAGCTTTTTTAATTATTTTTTTTTTTTTTAATTTTCAAAAATATTTTTCAACGACTATTAATAGGCGTGGATTTTTTAAAAAAATATTTTTCAACGACTATTAATAGGCGTGGATTTTCTAAAAAATATTTTTCAACGACTATTTATAGGCGTGGATTTTTTAAAAAATATTTTTCAACGACTATTAATAGGCGTGGATTTTTTAAAAAATATTTTTCAACGACTATTAATAGGCGTGGATTTTTTAAAAAATATTTTTCAACGACTATTAATAAGTGTGGATTTTTTAAAAAATATTTTTCAACGACTATTAATAGGCGTGGATTTTTTAAAAAATATTTTTCAACGACTATTAATAGGCGTGAATTTTTTAAAAATATTTTCAACGACTATTAATAGGTGTGGATTTTTTAAAAAATATTTTTCAACGACTATTAATAGGCGTGAATTTTTTAAAAATATTTTTCATCGACAATTAATAGGCGTCTTAAGAATTGGTTTCTTACAAGTGTATATGTTCTTTTGAGACCCTATAGACAATGACATGAAAACACTCAATGACAGGATGCAGATGAGTCGAAATTTTCTTCTTCTTCTTCCGCTGTTTGTCAAAAGCTTTTGACAATGGAGCAATATAAACAACATTTAAACTAGCCACTAAAAGCTTTGATTAAGGATTCTTTTAATTTTTGCAATAAAATAGCGCTCATACACTGAACTATACACTAGTCTATTCTAACACTTATATACAGTGACAAACAAAAGTGAACAAATATGTGTGTACTATAATGAAAACCGAAATTTCAGGCCATTGGTAGGAAAAAATGTACTAGTTCGTGAAATTATCTCTATTTTTTTTAAATATTATTTTCTGGATTTTTTTATAAAATATTAGAAGTATTTTATTTTTTGAAAATTCTTACAAAAATGGTGAACTATTTTCCATAAATTTCTTTCACAAATAACTGTGGAATATTTAAAAAATTCTCAAATAGTTAATTATAAGAAAAATCTAAAATAAATATATTTTTTTTTTTTTTTTGAAAATTTTTACAAAAAATTGCGAATTAGTTTCCATAGTTATTTTACACAAATAACTGCAAGATATTTACTTGAAAATATTTTCAAAAAGTTAGTTGAAAATTAATGATAATTTCTTTTTTTAAATTTTTAAAAAAAAAATGTTAATTATTTTACCTAGATTTTTTCACAAATAACTGTTGGATATTTACTTATATTCTCAAATAGTTATTTGAAAAAAGATTTAAAAAAATAATTGCAAAAATTTAATCTGTCTCGGAATCTCAAAAATTTTCTTGAACAAATTCTTATATAATTTTTTTACTTTAACCTTGGACTTTCGATTTATTTTTGTAAATTATGTATTAATAATAATATTATTATTATTAATTTTTTTTTGAAGAGTAAAAAAATATTCCTTAACAATTACTAAACAAATGAAATAAACACAAATTTATCTAGGACTGTTTATATGGAAAAAACCCCAAAAATTACTTGAAAAAAATCTTAAATAATCGTAGACTTTTTATTTGCAAAATTATTATTATTATTATTTTTATTTTTATTGTTATTATTATTATTATTATTATTAATATTATTATTATTATCATATGAAAAAAATATTCTAACACATTCTTAAATAAAAAAATCAAATAGTCTTGCACTTTTTACACGGAAAAATTTTAGACTTTTTCATAAAATCGTTAAACTAACATAAATATGAAATAATCCAGGGCTATTTTCTGAAAATTGCGTTACGAACGCTTTCTTTCGAATTATTTATTTAATTATTACTATATTTTTTGAAATATTTATTTGAAAAATTATGAAGTAATCCAGGCCTACTTTTGGGGATTTTTTTTAAATGCCTAGCATTTTCATTTAATTAATTAATTTTTTTCACAATATTTTAGCCATCTCCGACTATTTATTTGAAAAATCTCAAAAATATTAATTAAACAAATACGTAAATAATCGTAGATTTTTTTGAAAAAAATATGAAGTAATCCAGGGTTACATATTTTTTGAGAAATGCGTAAGAATTCCTTTAGATTTTGTGTTTTAATATTTTAGCATTTGAAGAAATTACGAAAAAAATCCAGGGGTATTTTCAGGTGAATTTTATTAAAAAATGCATAGCACTTTTTATTTATATATTTTTTTTTCATTTTTTTTTTTGTAATTCAGGGCTGAAGATTTTCTAAAAACTATCCAACATTTTCTTTTGATTTTTTGTTATTTTTATTGGGCAAATTTAAGCTACCTCGGACCGTTTATTTGAAAAATATCAAAAAATTTTTTGAACGAGTTCATAAACAATCATAGACTTTTTTTGAAAAAAAAAAAAAATCGGAAGAAATTATGAAGTAATCAAATGCTATTTTCTTCAAATTGTTTATTTTTTAAATTGCGTAACATTTTCTTTTGATTTTTTTTAAATTAATATTTGAAGAAATTATGAAATCATCTAGGGCTATATTCATTAATTATTTCATTATTTTTTTTAATTTTTATTTTAAAATATTATTAAATAATTTCTAATTGATTTTGAAATTTTTAATTGATTTTTTTTTTCATTTGTATTCAAAAAAATTATGAAGCAATCCAGGACTATTTTCTGGATATTTTGACAAAATTATTGCTATTTTGGACTTTTTTTTAAAAAATCTCAAAAAATTACTTGAAAAAATTCGTAAATAATTGTAGACTTTTTTGAAAGACAATAAAAACAAAGGGCTATTTTCTGCAGATTTTTTTTATAAAAAATAATTAAAAAATTTTTATTTTTGGTTATTTATTTTATTTTTATTATTATTATTTATTTCTCAATTGAAAACTGTTTATTCGGAAAAATCTGAAAAAATTACTTGAAAAAATTATTAAATAATCGTGCTTTTTTTGAAGAAAAAAGCTCAAATAAATAAATCACCTAAAAAATATACAAAAATGGAGCACTTTTTACTTGAAAAAATTATGAAATAATCCAGGGTAATTTTCTCGGTATTTTTATATAAAAAACATGTAACACTTTCTTTTGATTTTTTGAAAATATCTCTAAAAATTTTCTGGACATCATTTTGGGAAATGTATACAAAAAATTGTTGGACTTCGACTATTTTGTAGATTTTTTATAAATGCTGATTTAAATTAAAAAAATTTATATTAACAAATCTAAACAACTATTGTTTAAAATATTAAAAAAATAAATAAATTCACGAGTCTTCTTTTCGGAAATTTTTATTTGTTAAATTTTGTTTGTCATTGACATGGATTTTCAGTATTTGCTATATTTAAAATTGCAGGCCATCTGTTCGGATCTACCTTGGCAATGCAATCGATACTTCTATTGAGATTTACGCTATCGATAACCATCAAGCGTGACATCTTTTGCATTTTGTTGTAATTGTTGTAATCCTATGGAATCGAAATCGAGTCGGTTAATGTTTATATATCTCAAATTCTGAATCATGAGCTCACAATGATTTTTTTATAAAATTAAACATGCGTTAATGGGATGTGGTTTTGATGGGATTTCAAAATCGAAATGTTGTTGCCATAAAAAAAATTAAAGCAAAAAAAAAACGGCGATTATGCCGTGGTTTTTGCTCGCAGTATTCGTAGAAGCTTAGACCTATAAACATCCTATTTTTATTGCATTACAAAATCGGAACATGGGCTGCTTTCATTATTTTTTCTTTGCCTTGGTTTTATTTAATTTTCGTTCTCAGGCTGTGACTTTTGGCCCGAAATATACAAGAATTGGAGATGTTTACATATCGACCTTTGGAAGTATGTTTTTTTTTTATTATTTTTTTTTTTTTGGAAATTAAAATCCAATATTTCTTTTTTATGTTTTTGGTTTTTAATTTTTTTTTAGACACCTTCTACTGTGACAAAATCCAGTGTCCCGCTGCCACAACCTATGATTGTTTGGTCTTCAAAGAAATAAATCCCGAAAATCCAGCGACCACTCTGCGTTCAAATATTTGTCGTTTCCTTAATGGCCGGCGTCCGCAGAAATTGGCCCAGATGAAAGTTCTACCCAAGGATAAAATGCAATTATATATTCGGGCCAAGCCCAATGGAGAAGTGAAAGTGTTGTCTTAGTTTCCCTTTTTTTGTTCTAAATTCAATAAAAAAATTTGAAAAAAAAAATCAGACGGCACTGCCGACAGATGTATAACCTCAGCCAATGTTCGGGTATTTGAAAATATTTTGACATCTGTTATGATTTCTTCAAATTGTAGGCCCTCCAAGGAGTAGGTTTCAAAGGAATGGGCCAATAGTGACCATTTCCTATCGGACCTTAATAAATATGACTTAAATATTGTGATGTGCCAGGTTTGGCCTTTATTGACTACCTTCCTCACTTTACGGACACTCGACATTTCTTCAATTTTGTTTGCCACTGTAATTTTTTTTTTTTTTTTTGAAAATAATTTTCTTTTCTCTACCTTGGATATACAATCAATACTCCTACGGAGATTAACATTATCGTTGACTTTTAGACGTGACATCCATTCGGGTGCATGAGTTTTGCTATTGTAATTATCCTGTCATAATTGGGATAGTTTTCATTTTTTTTGTTGCAGAGGGGTTTTCGGATAACAAATACGGATTTTTACAATAGAAACGAAAATTAATAATGACTTATATTTAGTGGTGTAGAGGAGATTTTTTTTGTGACAAAAGGTGAGTGTGATACTGTGGGTTTTTTTTACAAGGCAGACATTGAGAGGAGAGATTTTCTGTCATAGGCTGTAGCGTCCATTACGAACATCCAATTCCAAATTTGAAACAATTCCCATGAATAATGTCGCCAAAATCGTCAAAATACCGAATATCGGGAGATACTGTTATATGGAGGCTATACCAAAACATGGACCTGTACGGACAATTTTCTGTCACAGGCTGCATCATCCATTACGAACTTCAAATACCAAATTTGAAACAATTCCGATGGATAATGTCGCTAAAATCACCAAAATACCGAATATCGGCAGGTACCCTTATATGGGGGCCATACGAAGGCGTAGACCTGCTTAGATAATTTTTCGTCACAGGCTGTAGTATCCATTACGAACTTCAAATACCAAATTTGAAACAATTCCGGTGAATAATGTCGCTAAAATCGTCAAAAAACCGAAACTAGGGAGGTACCGTTATATGGAGGCTATACGAAGACGTGAACCAGCACAGACAATTTTCTGCCATAAGCTGCAGTATCCATTACGAACTTCAAATACCAAATTTGAAACCTATAACGACAATTTTCTGTCACAGGCTGTAGTATCCAGTACGAACTTCAAGTAGCAAATTTGAAACAATTCTGGTGAACAATGAAGCTAAAATCATCAAAATATCGAATATCTGTAGGTATCGCTACATGGGGCCTATACGAAGGCGTAGACCTACACTGACAATTTTCAGTCACAGGCTGTAGTATTCATTACTAACTTCCAATACCAAAGTTGAAACATTTCCGGTGAATAATGTCGCTAAAATCACCAAAATACCGAATATCGGGGGGTATCGTTATATGGAGGCTATACGAAGGCGTAGACCTACACCGACAATTTTTTTGTCACAGGCTTTAGTATCCAGTACGAACTTCAAGTAGCAAATTTAAAACAATTCTGGTGAAAAATTTCGCTTAAATCACCAAAATACCGAATATCGGAAGGTACAGTTATATGAGGGCTATACGAAGACTTCGACCTGCATAGACAATTTTTTGTCATAGGCTGTAGTATCTATTGCGAATTTCAAATACCAAATTTGAAACAATTCCCGTGAATAATGTAGCTAAAATCATCAAAATACCCAATATTGGGAGGTCCCGGTGTATGGGGGCTATACGAAGACGTGGACCTGCACAGACAATTTTCTGTCACAGGCTTTAGTATCCATTACGAACTTCAAGTACCAAATTTGAAACAATTCCGGTGAATAATGTCGCTAAAATCATCCAAATACCGAATATCGGAAGGTACCCTTAGATGGGGACTATACGAAGACGTAGACCTGCTTAGATAATTTTTCGTCACAGGCTGTAGTATCCTTTACGAACTTCAAATACCAAATTTGAAACAATTCCGGTGATAAATGTCGCTTAAATCACCAAAATACCGAATATCGGAAGGTACAGTTATATGGGGGCTATACCAGAACGTGGACCTACATGGCCCATTTTCAATACCAAAATATGATATACAATTGAGTAAAATTTTATCAACCTACTTCATTTCGTTCGGAAGTTAGAGTGGTTTCCACAGACGGGCAGATGGACGGACCAAGAATATAAAGTAGTATAAAGTGGGTCTAAAATGTATATTTGAGAGGTACCAGGAGTGGACCGATAAATCTCATCTTCATAGAAGACCTTGTGTTAGTAGAAATAATAGGATACGTGACATATGAAGAGCACCGGATGCTAACTTCAGATTTTATAACCGTTTTTATTATTCAAAACTTTGACCCTTTGTGGGGAAGGTACCAGATGTTCGATCTCTACCATCTTTATAACAGATCTTGTATTGATGGAAATATTGAAATGTGTCAAGTCTGAATGGAATCGGACGTTAATTTCAGGTTTTATGAGCTGTATGGATATTCTAAATTTTAACCCTTTGTGGGGGTGGTATCAAAAGGAGTAGACCGATGTTCCCAATCTTCACACCAGACCTTGGGTTAATAAAAATATTGCGATGTGTAAAACTTGAAGACAATCGGACTCCTACATCACATTTTATAAGAGTTATAATTTTCAAAATTTAGCCCCTTTGTGGGGGAGGTACTTGATGGAGTGAACCAATATTTTCCATTTTCGCACCTATCACTGCACCAAATATTGGGATTTGAAAAATTGGAGCAAAATCGAATGATCCTTTCTCTTTCTATGCAGTAAAATATTTTTTTTTTAAATTTCGAAATGTGTGGGAGGAACCAGAAGGAGTGGATTGATATTACCCATTTCGGAACTCGATCTAAGTTTGATAATAATATTACGATGTACCAAGTTTGGACCAATTCGGATTTTCCCTTCGAGAGTTATCGTGTGCACCACCCAGACAGACAGACAGACAGACAGAAGGACATCGCTAGATCGACTCCAAATGTCCTGAAACGGATTTTGTCCAAAGAGACCCAGGGTCTCAAATCGTTATTTCGATGAGGCATGCTTTGGCCGTATGATATATACCCTCTGTAGCCATATGGCTGAGGGTATAAAAAGCATGGTTGGCATGCAGAAGCGGGGATTTCGAAATTTCGAGATCTGGTTTCTGGAAAACCAAAAATCGGAAAATTTTTCTTTTGATCAGTGGCTCTTATTTTGTTTTTTTTTTTTTTGCAAAAATAACATTTAAATCTCGGACTTAAATGGGTTAATTGTAGCATCGAATTGAGGGGTTATGTTTTAGTTTTGGATACACACCAACTACTTTTAGGATATTTTTTCATAGAAAATTTTCAAATTAATTTTGAATTCTTTTGTGCTGAAAATTTTCAAAAGCTCTCCATTCAATGTCTGCATGTGTCTTTTTTGCTAAAAATGGGTGATTTTTTGGTGACAAGGTTTGGAAAATTTCAAGGTTAATTTTCAATATTTTTAAAAAAGATATTAAAACTATTTTATACTCCATAGCTAAGACTAGGGAGGGGACAATACAAAATTGAAATAAAAAAATCTGAAAATTATTTCAAAATAAAATTTTATGGCTCTTACGCTTATATTCAAATTCATGGTACTCTCGGCGGATATTTTGCGGGCATTGAATGGCGGAATTTCCGATAGCTTCGATATTGTGGGTAATTTCTTGTCTTGCGTTGATGTTTGTGGCTGAGCCGGGGAACTGGATGATGTTGTTGCGGCTGCGGGGGGTGTTGAAGCAGCGGAGCCAACTAGCGACTGGGAAGTCAATTGCTGTTGCTGTTGCTGGGACTGATGTTGGCGGGAAATGGTGTTGTTGTTGGTACTAGCATTATTGATAATAAGATTGGAATTGATGTTGGTGGTGTTGGTGGTGGTAGTGCGCTGTGGACTACTGCTGGCACTGCTGCCGGTATGTTCGGCCGAATCCGAGGATTTCTTCCGGAAGGGTGGTATTTCTGGTAGATGCATACATTGACGGGTATTTAAGGCCAAGGAACTTGCAGAAGCTCTATATGTATTTACAGGAGGGTATTTTTTTGGGGGTACACAAAAGGAAAATGGAAGCCCAAAAAAAGAGAGAGAAAGAATGGAACATAGAGAGAAGAGAAAAAAGGTAAGCAAGATAAGGTGAAATAATGAAGAAAGAGGGGAAAGCAGGGTTAGTGGGGGGAGGGAGGGTGGAGTAACATGAAAGCGGAAATGATTTTTTTTCGACAAAGGACCCAGGCATGAGACCATTGATATTTAGAGAAAAAATTGTGATTTGAAATAAATCATACAAAACATCCAAAAAAATATCAGTGAAGAGAGAAAAAAATTTTAGATAAAAAAGAGAAGATATTTAATTGAGGATATGATTAGAAACAATTTCTTATAAAAAATGTGGTTTCATACAATTAACATTGAAAAAAATTACAAAATATATTTTTATATATATTTTTTTTTTTAATTTACAAATAAAACATGCTTTTCCTTCTTCATTTTTAACTAATTTGGTCCTAAGGGAACCTAAACCAATTTTTCAATATTTTTTCCAATTTTTTTTTATAATTTTTATCCATTTTTTTAATTTTTTTTTCTAATTTTTTTTCTAAATTTTTTTCTAATTTTTTTCTAGTTTTTTTCTATTTTTTTTTTTATTTTTTTTTAATTTTTTTCTATTTTTTTCCAATTTTTTTTCTATTTTTTTTAATTTTTTTTTTCTAATTTTTTTTTAATTTTTTTTTTCTAATTTTTTTCTATTTTTTTTAAATTATTTTTTTTTCTAATTTTTTTTCTATTTTTTCTAAATTTTGTTAATTTTTTCTTTAAAACATCAACTCCTTTTTTTACTAAAATTGGTCTTCAGACACCGGGTATTTTATGAAAGGAAAAAATGAATCTCTTTGAGTGTAATTTCATCTCTCTCCTCTCCCTCTCTCCCAATAGAAAACTCATTTTTTCTCTTCTGAGACCCGGTGTCTGAGTCCCAAACATTTCATCTAAGAGAAAATTAATAAACACACACACACACACACTTAAACATCTAGACTTTACCCCGTTAAAGCGTGCAATCTTTGTATTGGTATGGAGCTTAAATTACGAACTGAATATCCATGAAATGGGGGTATTTCCGGTATTTTCTTTTTCTGCTTACAACTTTTACATGCGCTTTAGTATCGGTGGGGGAAAAAATTAAAATAACATTTTTTTTGTTTATAATTTTTTTTTAATTTAGTTAATGCGGTAAAATACAAATACACAGATATTACAAGAGTTGTAAGTAGTGGCCTTGAGTGGGTTAAAATTTTGGTGGTTTTCAAAATCATAAAAAAATCGAGTATTGTCAAGAATATATATGGATATTGGGTAGATATAATTATAGAATCTATCAAGTAACTCTTCAGAACAGAAACATTTGTGGGAGGAGAGCAAAGAGGATATGCAAAGGCTGGCAGATGTGAGTCTGTATTCAACTTTTTTCCAACAACAATTTTTAAACCCTATACATCGTCACATCCCCTCAATAAAATAATGAATATTTATTTCGAGGACCAACAGACCAAGAAACCGCGATTTTTTAAAGAATATTTTTTCAAGGACCAAAGGACCAAGAAACGTGGATTTTTTAAAAAATAGTTTTTAAAAACTAACAGACCATGAAATTTGGATTTTTAAAGAATATTTTTTCAAGGACCAACAGACCAAGAAACGTGGATTTTTTTAAGAATATTTTTTCAAGGACCCAAAGACCAAAAAAGCCGTTTTTTATAAAATGAATTGTTTTCAAGGACCACAGAACCAGGGCCTGTTTCCACATTTTCTTGTTTCCACATTGGCCCTTTTGGAAAATTTGTCAAAAATAAAAATAAAACGGTTTTAAACCCTAGGTCTCTTTGGAACAAATCCGTCTCAGGACAATTGGAGTCGATCTAGCGATGTCCGTCCGTCCGTCCGTCTGTCTGGCTGGTGCGCACGATAACTCTCGAAGGGAGTATCCGATCAGAGATAAAGTTGGTACATCGTAATATTATTGTCAAACTTAGATCGAGTTTGGAGATGGACAATATCGGTTCTCTTCTTCTCGTACCTCCCCCCTCCCCCCAAAATGTCAAATTGTTCAAAGAAAATAATTTACAGCACAGAAATAGAAAAGATAATCCATTTTGCTCCAACTTTGCAAATCTTAATATTTCTATGAGTGCTACAGCAAGTGCGGAAATGGACGATATCGGTTCACTCCATCTAATACCTCCCCCACAAAGGGTCAACATTTTGAATAGTTTTAACTGTAATAAATGGTGATATAAGTGTCTGATTGTATTCAACTTACACACATCACATATTTCGGTACATCTCTATATTTCGGTCAACACAAGTTCTGTTATAAATATGGTGGAGATCGGAACATTTCTTCTGGTACCTCCCCCACATAGGGTTTAAGATTAAAAAAAAAACGTTCAAAGAAAGCGAAACAGGCATCCTACTCTCTTGAAATTTTACACATCCAATTTTTTTTTTTGCTGTTACAGAGGTGATATATATCTGCGAATCCCTTCAGGTACTTTTGGCCCATACCAATATTTTATCTGTATTAGATGAAGTATGAACATGGAATACTTCGGTCTGCTAAATCTGTTACCTCACGCATATTTCCAGATTTTTCCAAAAATTTGCACATATCTCATATAAAATATAGGAAGTAGTCGATATGGTACAAATATGGCAGATTGTAATATTTATATCAGACTTAGGTAAGATACGAATTGGTAATATTGTCAATGTGTAAGTTCGATATTTTTGTAACGTCAAGGTATATGTTCGAGGGTATTAAAAATTATATACGGGCGATCCTAGGCGCTTTTTTACTTGTTTTTCTTGAATTTTCCTTTGGGTTTTTTGTCCTGATATCACGCCAACGTCAATATGCCTGGCGAATACATGGGAAATGGTGAAACCCGTGCTGACAGTGTCTTCCGCCAGGGCATTTCCCTCAGTGATACTGGCGCCAGTGTACTACCCTCCCAAAGCTGGATATTTACATCACGAAATCATTTTTGGGCTCCCCGTTTTCACACCACATGACCTTCACTCTTTTGTAAAGGTTGTTGTTGCACAACTGTAACCTTTTGGATCCCCCCTCTCCAAGTAAGATTACCTCCCTCAGATGGTCTTCGATGAGTAGCCATCAATTTTCGATGTTTTTATTTACCGGCTCAGTTTTTTTCATGACCTCTACACGGAGGTTATCCGTGTAGATAAGGTGGAAGAATACCCTCATCCTCGATATTTTAGTTTGCCTTATTTTAAGCATTTTCTAAAAATCGCATTTCCTTCCTTTTTTCTCATTTTTCCAATGTCAAAAAATAACAATTTCCTATTTTGGTGGAAATTTTTCAAAAAGTACGGAAACTCTTTTTATCTCAAGCCCAACAGATATTCTTGTAACAATTACCAAAATTCTAGCTTTTTCCGAAGGTTGCTTCTATTTAACGTACGAAAAGTAACACCTCTAATCATAGAGAATTTTACTGATATTAAATGTTGCGAATTTCCAAAAATATACACGAAAAATCCTTATCTCGACTCTAGATTTTGACGGTACCAAATTTAGTACCATTTAGTACTTTTAGCACACTTGTGATAAACATTTGCAAGACCACTTCTATATCTCAAACCTACTCATCAACAGGGACCTTAGTAGAGAATTTGAGAATTTGAATGTACCTAAACTCATTACCAATGGTACCGAATTTAGTACCATTTTGGGTTTTTCGTACACTTATAATAGGAATGTTGCTCATATTTTTTGTACAAATCTCCAAAACTTAAACTTTTTTATCTTTGAAATTTGTATGCCAAATAAGAAGATTATAATTTTCGAATGGTACCAAATTTTGTACATTTAGTACTTTTTAGTACAATTACAATAAAAAATTCTAAAATTACTTCCGTATCTCGAAAATATTTTGCAATAACAAAATTTGAAAAATTTTACCTCCACACGTTAACTGGATACTAAGGGACGGAATTTCGTACCATTTAGTACATGTGTACACTATAATGTATATTTTCAAAAACCCCTTTCATATCTCCCATATCTATTCACAGCCACCGACCTCAATTCGAAATTTCAAAATTTTAGTCCAATGGAAAAAGTACCAATTTTAGTACGAATTTACCATTGGTACCTTTTAAATACGAATTTTAAAAAATTCATTCGCAAATGCCCTTTGGACGTCATGAGAGACCCTGGTACGCAAATTCGAAAAACTTAGTTATTTTTGCTCATCGAATGCCAATGGTACTCTATTGTAACCTTTAGTACCCTTAAAGTGCAGATTTCCAAAAATTCCAATTTTTTTACCATTTTCTAGAAGGGATATCAGGCAGGACTTCATAAATCTTAAAATACGCAATAGTACACAATTAATGGGAGGAAAATACATACAAAGAAAAAATAGCAAAAATGGTGTTAGTGTTCGGAAGGCAAAAAAGGGGAGAGGAATCAAGACAGGTGTTAGTATGTATGTGTGTTAATGCAAAGAAAAATTGAGGGGGCGGGGGGGCAAATAAGTGTTGTGTTAATAAAGAAGTTTGTGTTGCGGGGTGTATATTTCAAGTAGAAAAGTTTTGACCTTTAGTGTAGCTGCAGAAAAAAAAATCTTAAAAAAAGTTGCGATAGACTACATACCCGCTATGCGAACGACCCACATCCTGATTGAGACTAGTCAGCGAGGCACCACTCAGCGGTGGTGTGGACTCATGCAGGGGGCGTATGAGAATGGTGCTGGTCTGAAATAAACAAAAAAGACATTTTTAGGTTACCCTCTTCGTGAGGAGTTAAAGTTATGTCTGAGCCTTACCTGTGAGGGTGGTGAATCCGGCGATGAGTCACGATTCTCAAACACATTGACGTCCGCCTCAACATTGCGCTGCAGGCCAAAGCGAGTTATCTCATCTACATAGGGCTCATATTCTCGCTGCTTGAGTAGTTCCTGTTGATAGAGCAGATCCTCGGAGAGCTGCCGTTGAATGGATTGCTGATTGGCTACCGCAGCTGCTGCCGAGGCAGAGACGGCCGCTGCTCCACCATTATTAACATCCGCCAAATGCAATGCTGCCAATTCATGATCCGGCTGGGTGGAAGTGGTACTGGGCGGTGTAGGTGGTGTGGGTCGCGGTGATGTACCCTTACACTGCATCTCCCTGCGACAATGTTCCGCCCTTGCTATCTCCGCTGCCAACCAGGAGGGCAGCTCCGGCAGCAGCCAGGTTAAGGCTGAACGTAAACCCAACATGATATGCTAAATGATTAATGAGGGAGGTTACAAACACACACACACACAGATACAGAGATTAATGTCAATTCTATCCCCTCTCTCTCTTTCTCTCTCTTCCATCTACACCTACCTCTAGTGTTACTATCAAAATAATGGTCTGTGCCGTCGTCAAACCCGGCCACAAACGAGACACTTGTCCGGATAAACCAATTAGTGCACAATTCACTATGACCGCAGCCAGCGATAGGAGGCTGAGAGCATTCTGCCACGTTCCAATGTTGGCAACACGTTGACCAAATGGCCTCTGATGTACATGGGCCAGTTTGAATGCATCAGAGCGTATTTCCATGAGATTATTAATCAGGGCACATATTCCGGCCAGTGGGAAGGCGGCCGAAAATAGCACAACATAACCCATCTGGACAAGCATTTCCAAATGATCCGAAAAGGTGCCATCGTACTGGAATAATGGAGATTAAGTGATGATAATGGGGTGAGAGGGATTTAGAGGTAGATTTATAACTATTTTCATCAAAAGTGGGAGGAGATGGAGGGGGTGGAAAATGATAGTTGCTATTTTAATTAAATAAGGGGCCTTAAAAAATAAAAGGCTCCGTCGATTTTTTAAAATTTTTTTTACCATTTTTTTTTTTTAAATTGGATACTTAAAAAAAATATTTTTAAAAAAGTAGGGCCTTGAAAATTTTGATTAAGACCTTAATGGGCCTTAAAAATGATTGTAAAAAAATTAAAGGCTCCGTCGATTTTTTTAAATTTTTTTTACCATTTTTTCAAAAAAAAAATTGGTGCCTAAAATTTTTTTTTTTTAAAAGGAGGGCCTTAAAAATTTGTATTCCGACACTGTGCCACAAAATTCAATTTTTATCAATAATTACAGGGAAAATCCAGCAGATTATGAAAGTAGAGCTAAAAATAGAAGACACGTGCTTCGGCGTTTTGTAAGCTTTCATATCGCAAAGTAACCTAAATCTAGGGGGCAAGTTCCACCCTCTTCCAGAGATTTTTAAATTTTCAAAATAAGATTCCTTGGAATCCGTTGATTCTAGGTCCATAGTGTCTTCAGCACTATTGCAGATAATAATACGAGGTATATCTCAGTGGACACTTTTAACCCTCAAGCGAGCCAACAAAGGGGTCTTTTTGGTACTTTTTTGAAAATATGCCTCAAAACTACCTTAAAACGGGATCATAGCAAGTCAAAATATTCTATCAAATTATTTGCCATACAATTCTACCATAGGTCCTAGAAGACATTGAAAGTCTAAATCATACCCGAACGCCAGGAATTCATAAATATTAAAAACACATTTTAGGGTTAAAGCGGTACTTTATGTGAGTTTATGCAAAAATCTCCAACAAAACATCATTTTAGAAGGATGACGTCAATGATAAAAATATTCCGCATGAAATTTCACTGTAAGTCACCAAAGCAAAGAAATCTCTATTTTCATTGCATATCAAAAAAAGAGGTCCACCAATGTCCAGAAAAAAAAACCGAAAATATTTTCTAATTTTTTGGACAATTTTTTTTCAGCCTTTATAAAGTTGAGACCTGAAAACGACATAAAATTTCGTTTTGGGCGAAAATCGTCAAAGGAAGAAATGTTCTACACAAAATTCCGCTACAAGTCTTAGAACAAGCCCTACAACTAGCTGCAATAGATTTTAAGAAAATTAAATTCGAAATTTATGTTCTAATAGTGAAAATTGTGTGTATGCATTTTTCTACTTTACCTTGACCTTTTTTCGATTTAACGCCTGAAAATGACATAAAATTTCGTTTTAGATAGAAGATGTCAAAGAAAAAATTTTCTACACCAAATTTCATCATAAATCTCAAAATAAACTATACATCTAGGTCCCATAGTTGTCAAGAAAAGTCCAATCGAAATTTGTGTAATAAAAGTGAAAAGTAAGTGTTTGCTGTTTTACTGCTAATCTAAGACGTTTCCAATCCAGGTCAATATCCCCCATTAAAATTAATTTTTTCGTGAATGTTTCAAAGGAAGAATTATTCTAGACTAAATTTTGAGTCTCGGAACAAATGAAATTTGAATATTCAAAATTTCAGGTCCAAACCTTACCTTAACGGTAGAACATCATATTAATTTAAAAAAAAAAAAAACACATTTTAGGGTAGGAGCCGTATTTTATGTGAATTTATGCAAAAATCTCCATCAAGACATCATTTTAGAAGGATGACGCAAAAGACGAAAATATTCCCTATCAAATTTCACTATAAGTCACCAAAGAAAAGAAAACTCGTTTTCCACTGCATATCAAAAAAACATGTCCATCAATATCCAGAAAAAAACGAATAATTTTTCTAATTTTTTTCGCAAAATTTTCTTTGGCCTTTATTCGAGTTGAGGCCTGAAAACAACATAAGATTTTGCTTTAGGCGGAAATTGTTAAAGGAAGATATATTCTACACAAAATTCCGCTATAAATCTCCGAATAAACCATATTTCTAGGTTCAATATTTTTTTCAGAAAATTAAATTCGATATTTGATTCCGATAGTGAAAATTGTGTGCATGCATTTTTCTACTTTACTTCAGCCTTTTTTCGAGTTGAGGCCTGAAAACAAAATAAAATTTCGTTTTAGTCGGAAATTGTCAAAGGAAGAAATATTCTACACAAAATTCCGCTATAAATCTCAGGATAAACCATGCATCTAGGTACAATAGTTTTTTGAGAAAATTACGTACGAATTTTATTTACTACAAGTGAAAATTATGTGTTTGCTTTTAATTAATTGCTGTTAATTAAACACGTTTCACATTCATGTCAAAATCTCCCTTTATACTGCATTTTTTCGGGAAATTGTCAAAGGAGGAATTTTTCTAGATTAAATTTCATTATGAGTCTCTGAATAAAAGAAATTTGTGCATTGAAATTTTTAAGCCCAAATCCATCCAAAACGCCAGGAATTAAAATACATTGAAACACATTTTTAGGGTTAAATCCGTAGTTTATGTGAGTTTATTCAAAAATCTCCAACAAAACATTATTTCAGAAGGATGACATCGAAGGCACAAATGTTCCTTGTCGAATTTCACTATAAGCGACAAAAAAAAAGAAATCTCTATTTCCATTGCATATCAAAAATTTTCCATAAATAAATAAAAAAGAAAATAAAAACCTCGAAAATTGTGCTAAATCTTCAGAAATAAACTAGGTTAATTGATAAAAATATATCATATTATTTTCATGGTACATATTGAATATATAAATTTCTTTTGTTCGGAGACACACAATGAAATTTGATAACGAATTATTCTTCCTATAACACTTTCCCCCAAAAATGAAGTGTAAAGAAAGATTTTGACGTAGACTGGAAACGTGTTAAATTAACAGCAAAAAAGCAAACACACAATTTTCACTTGTAGTACATACATTTTGAGTGAGATTATCTCGAAAACTGTTGTACATAGATTTATGGTTTGTTCTGAGATTTTTAGTAAAATATTGTACAGAATATTTCATCCTTTAATACCTTTCTCCTAAAATGACATTTTGTGTTATTTTCAGGCGTTAACACGAAAAAAGTCAGATTAAAAATATTATCAAAAATTTGGGAAATATTTTCGTATTTTTTGGAACATTGATTTAATTATTTTTTTGAATACGTAAAGGAAATAAAGATTCCTTGTCGTTGGTGACTTATAGTGAAATTTGATGAGGAGTAATTCTTCCTTTAACACCTTCCCCAAATAGTTCAATATAAAGGGAGATTCTGACTTGAATTGAAAACTTGCTAAATTAACAGTAAAATAAAGCAAGCACATAATTTTAACTTGTAGTACATATTTTTCGAATGTAATTTTCTTAAAAGTTATTGTACCTACATATATGGCTTATTCTGAGATTAATAGTGAAATTTTGTGTAGAATTTTTCTTCCCTTAACACCTTCCGACTAAAATGACATTTTATGTTATTTTCAAGCATGAACTCGAAAAAAGTCCGAGGAGAGATTTATCAAAAATTTAGGAAATATTTTCGTAATTTTCTGGGAACATTGATGCAAGGATTTTTTATATATATAATGGAAATAGGGATTACTTTTCTTTGGTGACCTATAGTGAAATTTGATGGGAAGCAATTCCTCCTTTAATACCTTCCCCAAAAATTGAAGTATAATGGAAGATTTTGACTTGGATTGAAAGCGTCTTAAATTAACAGTAAATTAATCAAACACCTAACTTTCACTTGTAGTTCATATATTTCGAATGTAATTTTCATATGAACTACTTAACATTGATATAGGGTTTATTCTGAGATTTATAATGAAATTTGGTGTAGAATATTTCTTCCTTTAAAAACTTCTGCCTAAAATGACATTTTGTGTTATTTTCAGGCGTCAACTCCAAAAAAGGCCGAGAAGAAAGTAATCAAAAAATTTGGGAAATATTTTCGGTTATTTTTAGGAATTTTGATGCAAGGATTTCTTATATATATAATGGAAAAAGGGATTACTTTTCTTTGGTGACCTATAGTAAAATTTGATGGGAAGTAATTCTTTCTTTAATACCTTCCCTAAAAATTGAAGTATAAAGGGAGATTTTGACTTGGATTCAAAACTTGTTAAATTTACAGAAAAATAAAGCAAACACATAATTATCACTTGTAGTACATATTTTTCGAATGTAATTTTCTTAGAAACTAGATATATGGTTTATTCCGAGATTTATAGTGAAATTTTGTGGTTTATTCTGAAATTTATAATGAAATTTGGTGTAGAATATTTCTTCCCTTAACATCTTCCGCCTAAAATGACATTTTATCTTATTTTATGGCGTCAACTCGAAAAAAGTCAGAGTAAAAAATTTATTAAAAAATTTAGGAAATATTTTCGTTTTTTTGGGAATATTGATGCAAGGATTTTTTATATATATAATGGAAATATGGATTACGTTTCTTTGGTGACCTCAAGTGAAATTTGATGAAGTGTAATTCTTCCTTTAACACCATCCCCAAAAATTGAAGTATAAAGGGAGATTTTGACTTGGACGGAAAACGTGTTAAATTAACAGTAAAAAAGCAAACACATAATTTCCACTTGTAGAACATATATTTTAAATGAAATTATCTGGAAAACTATTATACCTAGATATATAGTTTATTCTGAGATTTATAGTGAAATTTTGTGTAGAATATTTCTTCCCCTAACACCTTCCGCCTAAAATGACATTTTATGTTATTTTCAGGCGTCAACTCGAAAAAAAGGTCAAAGAAAAATTAGTCAAACATTTTTGGAAATATTTTTAAGATTTGTTGGCAACATTGATGCAAGGATTTTTTTGATATGAACTAAAAAAAAATTGCTTTTCTTTTGTGACCTATAGTGAAATTTTATGGGGAAAATTTTCGTCTTTGACATTATTTATCTAAAACGAGGTTTTGTACGAGATTTTTCCATAAACTCACATAAAGTACGGCTTTAACCCTAAAATGTGTTTTTAGTATTTATGAATTCTTGGCTTTTAGGTATGTCTTCAAGGACCTATATCAGAATTTTATGCCAAATAATTCTGTAGAATATTTTGACTTGCTAGGATTTCATTGAAGAGGAGTTTGTAACAATATTTTTAAAAAAGAGCCAAAAAGACCCATTTGGTGATTCACTTGAGGGTTAAAAATTTCCATCAAAATAATCCTCGTATCTATATCTGCAATATTGGCAAAAACACTATATACCTAAAATGTAAGGGTTCCAAGGAATCTTGATCTGAAATTTTATAAAAGTATGGAAGAAGGGGGGAACTTGCCCCTCTATTTTGGTTACATTGCGATTTAAACGTTTTTCTATCTTTTGATCTAATATCAAAAACTGCTGGATTTTCCCCATAATAATCAAAAAAATTGAATTTTGTCGTGCAGTATAAAATCTGCTTCCCATTGTGACGTATAATTGACAATCACACTCATACGCCCTCCTTTCTTGCCATTAAATTTTCCCCCCATCTTACCTTATACAACGAACTCTCAATCTCCGCCTGACCAATGTTACGCTTCGTGGCACTTGTTGTCGTCGACGGTGTTGAGCAGCCCGTATCAGTGGATGGTTTCTTCGGCAGCTGTTTCGACGGGGTGCCCGGCTGCTGGGGTGTCGAGGTGCCACTTGGCTGTTTGGTTTTCTCTGAATCCGTGGAGCCTGCTCCCGCTGCCGCCACACTCTCCGCAAATGTGCGATTATTATCTTGCGTGGGACTCAAGGCTCCCCACATATTAAAACTCAGCTTTGCCAGGCGTACCTGTTCGGCCACATAGGGCAGAGCGGATTCGCGTAAGTTGCCAATGATTTGACGAGAGATCAAGAGACCGGCCAGTTGCTGGAATTCAAACAAGGTTAGACATTTTTTCCAATTTTTAATCCCCTTACCCACCTCCTTCAATTTCTCCTCATCCCTCAGATAAAAAGCTATGTAGAATAGCGATAGGAAAGAGTTGACAAATTGAAACAAAGCCACCTTGGCTATTAAGTGATTTTCATACTTTGACTGCAGGCGATAATTTTCTAAAAGAGAGAGGGAGAAAAGAGCGACGAAGAAAAAGTAAAAAAATAATTAAAAAGTTTTTAATTTGAGCTATGGATTTCCATTCTTACCTTTATCGTTCAACCATACGGCCAATTTATAGTATGCCTCATCCATGAGCGTAATGGCGCCAGCCAACAAAACTTTGGGTATGACGCTTAAACAACAGAGGACTCCGGTTTCGGGTAGCTTGGAGTCCCACCAGTCCTGCAAAGAAGGAAAATAAAAATAAAAAACAACATTGAAAAATGAGCTTAATTTACAAAATTTATTGGCGATTATTAGGAGGTTATTAATATTCAAAGGATTTCAATACTTAGGTCCTTTTACTTAAATCAAAATATGAAAATTTTTTTGGACGTTTAAAAAAAAATATAAAAATCCACGTTTCCTGGTCTAAGGGTCCTTGAAAAAATTTTATTTAAAAATCCACGTTTCCTGGTCTAAGGGTCCTTGAAAAAATTTTATTTAAAAATCCACGTTTCCTGGTCTAAGGGTCCTTGAAAAAATTTTATTTAAAAATGCATGTTTCCTGGTCTAAGGGTCCTTGAAAAAATTTTATTTAAAAATCCACGTTTCCTGGTCTAAGGGTCCTTGAAAAAATTTTATTTAAAAATGCATGTTTCCTGGTCTAAGGGTCCTTGAAAAAGTTTTATTTAAAAATCCACGTTTCCTGGTCTAAGGGTCCTTGAAAAAATTTTATTTAAAAATCCACGTTTCCTGGTCTAAGGGTCCTTGAAAAAATTTTATTTAAAAATCCACGTTTCCTGGTCTAAGGGTCCTTGAAAAAATTTTATTTAAAAATCCAAGTTTCCTGGTCTTTTGGTCCTTGAAAAAATTTTATTTAAAAATCCACGTTTCCTGGTCTAAGGGTCCTTGAAAAAATTTTATTTAAAAATCCACGTTTCCTGGTCTTTTGGTCCTTGAAAAAATTTTATTTAAAAATCCAAGTTTCCTGGTCTTTTGGTCCTTGAAAAAATTTTATTTAAAAATCCAAGTTTCCTGGTCTTTTAGTCCTTGAAAAAATTTTATTTAAAAATCCACGTTTCCTGGTCTTTTGGTCCTTGAAAAAATTTTATTTAAAAATCCAAGTTTCCTGGTCTTTTAGTCCTTGAAAAAATTTTATTTAAAAATCCACGTTTCCTGGTCTTTTGGTCCTTGAAAAAATTTTATTTAAAAATCCACGTTTCCTGGTCTTTTGGTCCTTGAAAAAATTTTATTTAAAAATCCACGTTTCCTGGTCTTTTGGTCCTTGAAAAAATTTTATTTAAAAATCCACGTTTCCTGGACTTTTGGTCCTAGAAAAAATTTTATTTAAAAATCCACGTTTCCTGGTCTTTTGGTCCTTGAAAAAATTTTATTTAAAAATCCACGTTTCCTGGTCTTTTGGTCCTTGAAAAAATTTTATTTAAAAATCCACGTTTCCTGGTCTTTTGGTCCTTGAAAAAATTTTATTTAAAAATCCACGTTTCCTGGTCTTTTGGTCCTTGAAAAAATTTTATTTAAAAATCCACGTTTCCTGGTCTTTTGGTCCTTGAAAAAATTTTATTTAAAAATCCACGTTTCCTGGTCTTTTGGTCCTTGAAAAAATTTTATTTAAAAATCCACGTTTCCTGGTCTAAGGATCCTTGAAAATTTTTTTTTTTTAAATCCACGTTTCCTGGGCTAAGGATCCTTGAAAAAATTTTATTTAAAAATCCACGTTTCCTGGTCTTTTGGTCCTTGAAAAAATTTTATTTAAAAATCCACGTTTCCTGGTCTTTTGGTCCTTGAAAAAATTTTATTTAAAAATCCACGTTTCCTGGTCTTTTGGTCCTTGAAAAAATTTTATTTAAAAATCCACGTTTCCTGGTCTTTTGGTCCTTGAAAAAATTTTATTTAAAAATCCACGTTTCCTGGTCTTTTGGTCCTTGAAAAAATTTTATTTAAAAATCCACGTTTCCTGGTCTTTTGGTCCTTGAAAAAATTTTATTTAAAAATCCACGTTTCCTGGTCTTTTGGTCCTTGAAAAAATTTTATTTAAAAATCCACGTTTCCTGGTCTTTTGGTCCTTGAAAAAATTTTATTTAAAAATCCACGTTTCCTGGTCTTTTGGTCCTTGAAAAAATTTTATTTAAAAATCCACGTTTCCTGGTCTAAGGGTCCTTGAAAAAATTTTATTTAAAAATCCACGTTTCCTGGTCTAAGGGTCCTTGAAAAAATTTTATTTAAAAATCCACGTTTCCTGGTCTTTTGGTCCTTGAAAAAATTTTATTTAAAAATCCACGTTTCCTGGTCTTTTGGTCCTTGAAAAAATTTTATTTAAAAATCCACGTTTCCTGGTCTTTTGGTCCTTGAAAAAATTTTATTTAAAAATCCACGTTTCCTGGTCTTTTGGTCCTTGAAAAAATTTTATTTAAAAATCCACGTTTCCTGGTCTTTTGGTCCTTGAAAAAATTTTATTTAAAAATCCACGTTTCCTGGTCTTTTGGTCCTTGAAAAAATTTTATTTAAAAATCCACGTTTCCTGGTCTTTTGGTCCTTGAAAAAATTTTATTTAAAAATCCACGTTTCCTGGTCTTTTGGTCCTTGAAAAAATTTTATTTAAAAATCCACGTTTCCTGGTCTTTTGGTCCTTGAAAAAATTTTATTTAAAAATCCACGTTTCCTGGTCTTTTGGTCCTTGAAAAAATTTTATTTAAAAATCCACGTTTCCTGGTCTTTTGGTCCTTGAAAAAATTTTATTTAAAAATCCACGTTTCGTGGTCTAAGGGTCCTTGAAAAAATTTTATTTAAAAATCCACGTTTCCTGGTCTAAGTATCCTTGAAAAAATTTTTATTTAAAAATCCACGTTTCCTGGTCTAAGGATCCTTGAAAAAAATTTTATTTAAAAATCCACGTTTCCTGGTCTAAGGATCCTTGAAAATTTTTTTTTTTTTAATCCACGTTTCCTGGGCTAAGGATCCTTGAAAAAAAATTTATTTAAAAATCCACGTTTCCTGGTCTAAGGATCCTTGAAAAAAATTTTATTTAAAAATCCACGTTTCCTGGTCTAAGGATCCTTGAAAAAAATTTTATTTAAAAATCCACGTTTTCTGGTCTAAGGATCCTTGAAAATAATTTTATTTAAAAATCCACGTTTCTTGGTCTTTTGGTCCTTGAAAAAATTTTATTTAAAAATCCACGTTTCTTGGTCTTTTGGTCCTTGAAAAAATTTTATTTAAAAATCCACGTTTCTTGGTCTTTTGGTCCTTGAAAAAATTTTATTTAAAAATCCACGTTTCTTGGTCTTTTGGTCCTTGAAAAAATTTTATTTAAAAATCCACGTTTCTTGATCTTTTGGTCCTTGAAAAAATTTTATTTAAAATCCACGTTTCCTGGTCTAAAGGTCCTTGAAAAAATTTTATTTAAAAATCCACGTTTCCTGGTCTAAGGGTCCTTGAAAAAATTTTATTTAAAAATCCACGTTTCTTGGTCTTTTGGTCCTTGAAAAAATTTTATTTAAAAATCCACGTTTCTTGGTATTTTGGTCCTTGAAAAAATTTTATTTAAAAATCCAGGTTTCTTGTTTGGGTGGTCCTTGAAAAAATTTTATTTAAAAATCCACGTTTCTTGTTTGGATGGTCCTTGAAAAAATTTTATTTAAAAATCCACGTTTCCTGGTCTAAGGGTCCTTGAAAAAATTTTATTTAAAAATCCACGTTTCTTGTTTGGATGGTCCTTGAAAAAATTTTATTTAAAAATCCACGTCTCTTGTTTGGATGCTCCTTGAAAAAATTTTATTTAAAAATCCAGGTTTCTTGTTTGGGTGGTCCTTGAAAAAATTTTATTTAAAAATCCACGTTTCTTGTTTGGATGGTCCTTGAAAAAATTTTATTTAAAAATCCACGTTTCCTGGTCTAAGGGTCCTTGAAAAAATTTTATTTAAAAATCCACGTTTCCTGGTCTAAGGGTCCTTGAAAAAATTTTATTTAAAAATCCACGTTTCTTGGTCTTTTGGTCCTTGAAAAATTTTTATTTAAAAATCCAAGTTTCTTGGGCTAAGGGTCCTTGACAAAATTTTATTTAAAAATCCAGTCGATACTTGAAAATGCTTTGTCAAAAAAAATTCTTGCAATATTATTTGGAAAAATCAAGAATTATTGTTGTGAGGGTCCTTTGTCTTCCTTTGTGCAAATATTGAAACATGATTAGCTCATGTTTGGAATTTTTATTGTTTAATTCCACAACAATGTTGTTGTTTTTCTTGTTTTTCTTTATTTGCCTTTGTTCGCTGTTTAATGCCAGCCCCTCCCTTCCTCCCTCTGACTCCTTGAGAGTACCACCCACACTACTCGTCGTAATTAATTGTTTCCATGTTTTTATTACAAATGTAAAGAGTTTTGACCGCTTTTTTTATATCACTGAACAACAACAACAATATTGCTATTGTTGTTGTTTCTTTTTTTGTGTAAATAAATGAATAATAACAAAGTCATTGTCTGTTTATGGCGGCGGTGGTGGTGTATACTTTTAGGCGTCTGTGTGGTGAATGCCACGGCACTCGTTGTCAATTATGGATGTTTATATGTCAATTTGTATAAGAATATAAAACAACACACACACATACATTGTTCACAAGTGTTTAAAGTACACACCCACACACTCATCCCCGTCATCAGACGTTAGAGGGCGCCATAATCAACAGTTGATTTGCTTTAATTTCTTTCATATCCTTTGCCAAAGGATATGAAAATAAAAATTAGGTATGAGTCACAAAATTGTTTACGACAAGTAGACGTTTAATGTGCGTCCTCACTGCGAACGTGAGTGCGTGATTTAAACATGAGGCCATTTATGCATGCGGCTAAATATGGCAACATTGGCTTGCATTAATTTTCTCAAAGAGGTCACCCACCGTTCACTTGGTCTGTGGGTCGTTGTGATTTTAATGGCTAAGAAAAAATGACAATGATGGTAATTAAAGCAACAACCACTACAGCTATTAGCATAAAATAATGAAATGAACGTTAGTCAGGATAGAAAAATTTTATTTAAAAAATCCACGTTTCTTGGATCCTTGAAAAAATATTCTTTAAAAAATCCACGTTTCTTGGATCCTTGAAAAAATATTCTTTAAAAAATCCACGTTTCTTGGTCTAAGGTTACTTGAAAAAATATTCTTTAAAAAATCCACGTTTCTTGGATCCTTGAAAAAATATTCTTTAAAAAATCCACGTTTCTTGGT